ACATTTAAGAGTGTTGAGGGTTACTTCTAAAACTGCATCCTTTCCTTCCTTTCGTATTTTATTTCTCAGCACGCTCAAACCCAAACTTTCTCCAGAAAATATTCTTCTCTCTCTACAATGGGGGTGTTTGTTTCAGCTTTTCAGAGCTCTTTGGCTTTTTAGCTTTGAAAAAGTTAATTTTGGACTGTTTGGTTAACTTATTTCAAAGCAGCTTCTGATTCCTAGCCAGCTTTATTTTAATTCAAAAAAGCTGATTCTCTGAGAAGCTACTCACCCCTTACTTCTATTATCAGCTTCTGCTGTTGTGACATGTAATTTATGGTTATACTCTTAATTTTTTTATTTTTTATTTTATTTTTTTAAGAAATAAAAAAGACCCAAATGGACTATAGATTAAATTATTATTATTATTTATGAGAAGATGTAGATCAACAAAAAAATAAAAATTAAATTGAAAGCCTATTTTACAACTTATTTAACAAACCACCTACTCAGCAACTCAAATTATATCCAACAGCTACACCAACCAGATTAAAACTTCTGATTAAAGTCATAATCTATAATCTGTTAGCTATAATCTATAATTGTTTTAACAGTTACACCAACGGGGCCAATATCTAGCTTACTTAGCCGAATTTATCCATGTTTTCTACTTTAAAAAAATGAATTTTCTGGAGGCATCAAGTGAAAGGTTTGAATAAGTGATAGTGATTTGGGTACTTGAATTACTGTGTTAGTGGCTCAGAATAATAAAATGCACTTCAATTGCAACTATTTTGAGGAGGACTATTGTGGTGGAGTACTTTGTATGAAGAATCACTTGGTGGGAACCCATGATGATGTGCCCCATGTAATCGAGTTTCTGAAGATATTTGAATCATTTTTAAACAAATGTTTGGAGAAAAAACAAAGCAATGGTGTTGATGCTGAATGCTTTTGAAGAACAAAAATGTGTGTCCTAAAACGAAGGAGGCCATGGATGCATAAGTCACAAAAGGGAAGAGAACATAACAAACTTCAGGTCAAATGTATTTTTCTATGTATATATATATATATATATATATTCCTTCGTATTTTAGAAATTATGAATTGAACCTTTACGATTCATGATTTGGGAAAAAATAATCTCTATTTACAGTTCGTATCTCAGTTTGACACTGCTTGTTATTATTTTTATTTTTAAATCTCGTAGAAATTTACAGTTAAGGTTGAGCTGTATCCAACTTATATCTCAAGTTGTGTCTGTGTCTTGAATCTGTTAACTGAATGGACTGTCATTGTTTCATCAGTTAACTAATTTTCAGATTAAACTTATTGGCCTGTGGAAAACTGAATGGTTTTTCGAGTAGTGTAACAAGGCCAGAGAAGATCGTAACAGGCATTCCTTTGGATCGGAAAACTTCAATAATGCAGTTGTGATGGGTGTTTCTGGTTCCTGAGGAGTGAAGGATGCTTTAAAGTCTTACCTATCTGAAGGAACTTTCATGGAATCTCAATCTTTCTGTTTGATTTTTGCATTGTGGAGCTACCATATTAGCCTGTTGATTAATTTCTTTGTCACAGAATGCTGTACTTGTGGTATAATTGTAAAGATTTCTGTTATCTATATTACATCTCTTCTGATTAATTTAGATCTTGTGTGATTGTTTCTCTTCTGATTTCTTTATTGAACTGTTTGGGCACATGTGTTCTATGAAGAGTTCTTGGTTTGAGTTGGGTTCATTTGAGGACTTTGAAATGCACTCCCTCTTGGACTCTTGAGTGAATATTTGACTTACAAGAAAGGATCAAGTAAGATCTTATGAATTTTGACTGGAGCAATTTAGTGGTATTCTGAATTTTTTCTTAACCCTTGTGCACAGTTTGTTTGTTATTTTGTTCTTCCATAAGATAGGAATTGGCAATTAAAATATTGGGATGCTTTGATATTGTGTATATATTATTTCATTTTGACATGAGTTTCCACCCTTCAATATCTGTGTTTTTTTCTCCCTTTAATTTTTTAGGGATCTCAGTAGTGTCATGACTGATATATTGTTCTATTATTTTTTTGTTGTAACAACATTCTTTGTGATCAATCTCTCATATAACAGATATAATTTTGTTGCTGGGAGTACAAATAATTTTGTGCTAGAAAACATTTATGAGTGACTGACATAATAAAATATTTACAGTATTATGTGTCAGTGTCACTAATCTTGACTCCATTCTTGATGTGGATATCAATCTTCTTAGTCAAGGTCTCTTTTGAGGAGTATTGTCTATCTTGTGCCTTTTTGCTTTCATACAGTAGTGGTGTAAGTTTAACCTGTTGCTGCTGATGCTTTTCAGGTTCAAGATCTGCACTTAATAACTCCTGACTACTTCTTGGAAGTAAGTGGTGCTGTGATACACCCTCTTTCGTATCAACAGTTAGTTGGAATTTGATGCTTAGTGTTCATGACTTTCTTGGTCTTACCATACTTCTGTTTGTAGAAGTTTTATTTTATTATGATATGTGTGCATTTTCTCATAGCTGTGTTAAATGAATGCACAAAGAAACACATTAAGTACCCTATGCCAGAGATGTGGGGCTATAGGAAGTCAAAGTTGGGTGTGGAAATGTCGGGTATGGTTTCGGCTCACTTTCTATTGGATGCTCAACTAGATGGGCAATTGTTAGAATGGAAGGAGCAATAGATTCCTAGTCACTTTAAATACCCTACAATATAATTCCATTGTGCTTTCTTGTTTTAAAGGTGTTGTAAAATGGCTGCAAGTGCCTTTGTTAATTTGATTAATGGAAAAATAGAGAGAATGAAATATGTATTGATGATTGATATTATTGATTGATGTATCTTATGGTGTGTTGAGCTCTCTCCTTTATAGAGGAGAGGGAGAACAATTACAAACCGAAAGTAGAAGCACAAACCAAACAACATTATTAAAGGTACATTATTAAAGCATACTAATTATTATACTAACCAATTAATTAAAGCAACATTTTACATTATATTCTAACAGCCCCCTCAAACTCCAGGAGGATAGGAACCAACCAACTTGAGTTTGGAGAAAGTAACAAAACAGAAAAAATAAAATAAATAAAAATGGTAGAGACACTGTATGGTCGTGTCAGACCGTTGTAGAAGAACTATATGGGTATGGCAAGACCGATGTAGAAAGACAGTTTATGGGGTTCATGTCAGACCCGTTGTAGCGACAAATGTTTGTGACAGTGACAGTTTACGGAGTCTTGCTGGACCCTTGTAGAAACTAACCGGAATCAATGTCGGGACAGTTTACAGAGTCTTGTCGGACCCATAAAGGAGCTAACCGAATTAATGTCGGACAGTTTACAGAGTCTTGTCGGACCCTTGGAAAAGCTAACCGGAATCAAATGTGGACAGTTTACAGAGTCTTGCGGACCCTTGGAAAAGCTAACGAATCAAATGTCGGGACAGTTTACAGAGTCTTGTCGGACCCTTAAAAGTCGCACCTCAAAAGGTGTGCCCAATCTTTCAAAAAGGCGTGCCATCAAAAGGCGTGCCCAATCTATAAAAAGGCGTGCATCAAAATACGCGCCATGTTTGTCGTCGAGCGTCGAGCGCCGAGCGACGCATGATGCGCGTGTCTGCCTTGGCTTGCGCGCCCGTTTTGTCGTCTGGCGTCAAGTGGCGCGCGATGCGCGGATGGCCCTGGCTATTTTAAACCAAGATTGAGGCGGAGGCTGTGCAAACCAGTCTGAAACCGCTGACATTTTATTCTAAAATACCTGAATATTTGCATTCTTGAAACATCTGAACAATGGCCTCTTCTTCCCGTTCAGCTACCCAGAATATGGCCTCTTCGTCCCGTGGTCTACTCACTCTCTTTCCCGACTCTCACGAGTCAACAAGAGAGAGATACCAGTGCGGGCCAGTGAACCTCACCAACGCCTCTGGTTTTGCTCCGTTGAACACTTTCCGATGCGGTCTGTGAGCAAAAAATGGCGGTGCGAACTGATATTGAGGCCAATCAGTATACTTTGATCATGCGTGGAAACCATGACTCGGTCACAAAACTTGTCGACACGGCTGCAGAGTAGGACAAATGAGGTGCAGCAGTTAAACGCCCAACTGGCTCTGCTCCAGCGCATGTATAAGGATGCGCGAGCAGAGATAAGTGTGCTAAAGGCAGAAAACAAGGAACTGAGCGGAAGGCACCGTGATGTTCCGGATTTGGAGGTCCGCCATATGCTGCAGCGGAGGAGCAGGGGGGTGTGAATGTGCTCGTGGATTAGGAAGCACGGAACAACACCGTCAAGGGCGCCCAGGACGGAGGCAGAGAAAAGGCCGGCGGAATAGGCGAAGAAGTGAGGTCGGTGGGTGGCCGGCTGCAGAAAAGAAAACAAATCTTGGGGTGTTTGTGTTTGCCCACTGTGCCGATTTGTGTTGGTTTGGTTTTTTTTTTTTTTGTTTTTGTTTTTGTTTTTGTTTTTGGTTTTTTTTGTTTTTTTTTTTGTGTGGTGTAAAATGGTGATCGGGGTGAGCCCCGACATGAATAAAATAAGATGGTGTGCAGTTCGTCTTCTTCCTCTCTTTTTTTTTTTTTTTTTTTTTTTTTTTTCGTGCAAAGAAATAATGAGGAAAAAAAAAAGATGAAAAAATAAAATGAAAGAGAAATAAAAAAGAAAGAAATAGAAAGAATATAGGTGTGAAAAGTAATCAGAATATATAGATATATATATGATTATTTTTTTTGTTTTTATGTTATTTATTTATTTATTTATTTATTTTTATATAAAATCAATGGGGAACAGGTTGAAAAGAAAGAATGGGAAGTATTAAAAGAAATGGGGGATAAAAGATGAGTGTAATGTGATGATGAGAAACGAAAATAAAAATCAGGAAGAGACATGCCAGGTGGGTTGAAGAATAAAAAATAAGGAAAAGGCTGAAATAAAAAAAAAAAAGATTGTGGGTGTGCTGGAGGGGAGAGAAAATAATAATAATTATGATTATTATTATAAAATAAATAAAAAGTTGCTAGAGATATGGGGAGGCTCCCATGCTTCCTGTTGAGGTCGGCAGGATTTTTTTTTTTTTTTTTTTTTTTTTTTTTTTTTTGATTACGAAAAATAAAATAAAATAAAGAAAAGGAAAGTGGGGGGTGGATGAGTGGGGATGGGTTCAAAAGTGGACTGATAATGAGTACGAAAAATAAAATAAAAAAAGAAAAGGAAAGTGGGGTGAGGATGGGTTCAAAAGTGGACTGAAAAACATGAGTGTATGTATTGATTATTTGAGATAATAATAATAATAACTTTATTGATTGAAAGCTGTGCCTCTGTCTCTGATGGTTGTGAAGCCATGGCCGTAGAGCTCGTGATGGGTTACAGAAACGACAGCTTTACGTCTCACGTGGAAGAGAATGCAGTGGTTCAAGAAGCAGCCTCTGGGCTCGAGAGTGTTTGAGAAGCTCATTAGACTTCTTTCTCAGTCTCAACAACAACAACAGAGACAAGAGGGTTGTGCGCAGGGCAGGTGCGAACCGAGCTCGCAAGCAAGCAACAACCGTGATACCGCAGCAGAGTTGTTGTCGGAGCTGGCCAACCGAAGCAGCAGTAATGGTGTCGCAGACGAGTCGGCATCGGCGTTGGTCGGCGAAATCGAGCTCCGATGTGCCTAGATCTCTGGTCGTCGGTTCCTCCGGCTTGCTTCCGGTGACTGGCCTGTGACCGCGTAGGGCTTGGTAGGAGCCGAAGGCCTTGTCGCATACACGACACTTATAGACAGGCTTTGAAAACCAAGAGGTTGCTGCGGTGCGTGAGTTGAGAGCTTCGAGAGTGTAAAATATGTTGATGTATATTATTGATTGATATAATGTTATCTATATTACAAATGGTGAGTGGCTCATTATATAGGAGAGGGTGAGTGTAGTAGGTGAGGAGTAGGTGGTGGTAGGTGATGGTAAATTGGTGGTAGGTGATGGTAAATTTTAACAGCCCCCCGCAAACTCAAGGAGGATAGAAACTAACCAACTTGAGTTTGAAGAGAGGAACAAAACAAGAAAATACATAAAAATAAAAAAAGATAGGTGACACTGTATGGTCGTGTCAGACCATTGGTGAAGACACTGGATGGTGGTGTCATAACGTTGTAGAGGACACTGTATGGGGGTGTCATAACCATGTAGAGGACACTGTATGGTGGTGTCATAACGTTGCTTCACTAAAGGTAGATGTGTATTGTTTTCTCCACTCCATCTTTTTCGTCTATTTAGGTCCTGTTTACGATACACTGAGCTCACTTTCTTTTTTCTTTTCTTTCTTTGAGACATTAATGGATTTTCTTAGGCCTTCATGTTTGCGCCATTCACAGTATGCATTACAAGTCGTCATTGCTAAAGCTGAACAACCCTTGAGCCCCTGATGTAAAGTGTCACCTTAAGCAAATATAGGGTATTCTGAATGTCACTTCTTATGCTGTGCATGATTGAGAGGCTAAGCAAGTAGAGTTGTTTGACATTTAATTTATGGTGGTTCGATTTATTGGTGAGGGGTATGACACTAGATCCTTTATAGTACAAAAGTGAAATCAAGTTGCTTGTGGGTTCAGCTGTCAATTGGTTCCGAGGGAAGGGATTCAGAAGCTACAGTCTTTTCATAGGCAGAGTTCTTTGAATTTACAATTGTATATCCATTATTTAATGCATTAGCTAGATAATGAGACATAATGTGATTAATATCAACATCTTGAAGGCTCATCCATGTTCTGTTTTTGTTGAAGGCTATTTCTCAGATGATTTATCTCAAGGTTTTCGACGATTCATTATGCATTGTTTTGTAACATATTTTTTAAAATGCAGGTTTTGAGCTAAGTTGTGGGAAAACCTTTTCATGTTTATGTGAATTCGTTTTTGGGAAAATCTGATCAGTACTGGAATTTTACTCTCCTTTCTCAGAGCTGAACCATACAACTTATACTTCTAGGATTAATGAATGCTATTGGCAAAAGATGGAGGATAATTGAAAGTATTTTTGAAAATTTTAAAAATGTGAGCCTAAGTTGCTAATAAAGTAGATTCACTTCAAGTTCGGTGAGAATATATGATGAGTTTGTCTCCAATGCTTTTTAGGACGCAATGTGATGATCTCATTCTATCAGATAATAACCTTTGCTCTCTGTTTATCAATTAACCTCGGTGATGTTTAATTTCAGCCTGATTGAACGGGTACGGAAGACAGTTCAGGGGTCAACTGACGACATAGGATGGCTGCAACGTGCTCCAGAAATGCCTCCAGTTGAAGACGGAACTGAAAGGTTTATGGAAATTATGGATGATATCAGGTGCAATGAGTTGTTTGCCATTTCTATAGGCCTACATTTTCCTAGCTTGATTATACAGTTATTGATTGAGTTGCTTCTCCCTGTTATCAGGCATGGCCTACACAAGTTGCCAAATTCTATGGTTTACTTGTTGGTACCAGGTAGCAAATATTTTCCTTCCCTAAATAGTATCAAATCTTTTTTTCGTTCTCTTCCTTCTGTCATATGTGGAACACTCAGATGTATGTGGAAGATCATCTCTGATGTGTTCCTGTAGTGGGGTGTTTGAAGCCAAGTGACTTTTATGTGTTGGTATGCTTCTAATATTTGGGTTGGGGTGTTTCTTTCTTCTTGCTTTTTTGGTACATCAGAGGCTTTAGTCTCGGGGAAGGGGAGTCTTGCCTACGGCAAGACTTGTACCCTTAATCTCTGAGTTAGGTACAGGGATTTTGGCCAACAGGGCCAGACCAAGTTGGTTGGATTGGGGTGTTTCAAGCCAAATGACTTATTTGGGTTGGACTGCTTCTAATCTAGTATCTTTTTTGTTATTTTGGTATTCTTCCAATCCAACTTCAGAAAAATATGATAGATTGCAAGTTTGGATTATCAGTAGATCATCTTTTTCATGAGATGGTATGCATTAGGCTGGTAAACATGTTGACTCCAACACCGCTAAGAGTCACATACCTTGAAATAGGTTTTCGATGTATAGTTGATACAGTTCTTCTTTTGCATACTGGTTGGGCACCCCATTGGATCATTTTTTTTTAATAAGATTTACTCATACTTGGAAAAAAAAAATGACATGGTATATGGCACAGTGCATGGAACAACTTAAAATGTGCAGATAACTATTCAATCCTCTTGCGTCTTACTGCTATGCTTCTGGCACATCACAGATGCATCAAGATTGACTGACTTTCTGGACCTCTGTGCTTGGAACTCCTCTTAAGCACTCCCCGTTATTCTGGGATATAAACTAGGCTGGAGGCCTTGAATTTTGGGGGAATTCACATATTGAAGAGGAATGCTAAATAAAGGATTGGAAATAGGATTAGAACCGAAAAACCCAATACTCCTGAAAGAGATTAATATTTGCCATCCAAGTTATGGAAGGTGATGTACAAGAATCATTTGATGCATAGGCAAGAGTTGGACAAAAATGAGTAGTTCAGGATTATATAATCAATGGGAGTCCTGAATAATTTGAAATTCCCCCGAGTCCAGACGAAAGCATTGGAACCGATAGCAAATCTATTATTTTTCTTCCTTATCTTTCTTTCTTTCTTTTTTCTTTTTTTTTTTTTTTTTTG